AGGTTTTGTTGTTTTTGTGTGTTTTGTTGGACTGTTTGAGCGTTGTTTGTTGTTCGTATGTGATTTGTGTTGTTTTTTGCTGTTTGTATGTTATTTGTGTGTTTTCATGTTGTTGCTGCTGCTGTAGTTGTTGTGTGTTTTGTTGTTGTTGCTGGCTGGTTGGCAATTAAATAATAAATTAATAATAACAAAGAATAAATAAACAGCAGAACAACACTTAAACAAGAAGACACAAGAAATATTAGATGGAATATTTCTAAAATCTAAATAAGGATTTACTTGTGGAAAATTTTAGTGAAAAATCGTCAAAAGTATCAACATTTCAGCGTAATCATCGTCGTAATTAACGCAAATATTGCCTTAATCAGCATAATCATTACAATAATCACAAACACCATCATCCTAACTAGCTTGGAAATCGCATAACCTAAGAATAAACTGAGATGGCATGGAAATTCAACTCCATTAAATTAATTTCATTCTGTATCTTCTCGCTACTAAAATACCAGGGCCTATTTTCTCAAAGCACCGAGAAGTACAGCAGCGATACGTGCTCCGTTTGCCTGAACAACTTCTACAAGGACGTCAGGCAGAGCTCATGGAAACTGGATAAATTATACGAAGAGATGGGATACAATGTGAACAGTTTCATATCGGCTTTCAACAAAAACAAGACTGAAATACTTAGTATTGCATTTTTTATTCTTCAAACTTTGATTTTTCATTAAAAATGATTTTCTATATCTGCCCGGTATAACCAGCTGGGGGTGGGTGATTGTCCCAATTTAAATTATGGTTGGTGAATTATTTATTCTAATATAATCTATTTACTTGAAAGACAATTGCTTATCGATGACGTTGACGGGCTGATCATTTGTTATTATGTATGTAAGTATTGAAAATTTTAACCAATTAAAACATCCAACATCCAAAGTCTCTGTCGTTTTGATTAATCGCTGTTTATAATAATAATAATAATGTGTGTGTGTGTGCGTGCGTGTGTGTGCGTGCGTGTGTGTGCGTGTGTGTGTGTGTGTGAGTGCGTTTAGGAAGAGTGTAATACTTTTGATCTTTAATCAGCACAACCATTTACACCCAAGCAGCCTTTACACGGCCATGCAATAATTACTTTTAAAAATATGCCAGTCGGACCCATGTTATTATTTATTATAGATAAAAATAATAATTTCAATGTAGTTATTACGTCTACAATTATTTCTAAGAAATTTTCACGGAGGCGAAAATGGAAATAAAGGCGCCAGGATATATGGGAAGAACAGGAGTTCCTGGAGATACGGGATCAACTGGAAATACGGGATGGACAGGAAAAACTGGTCAACCAGGTATGACAGGATCACCTGGATTGACAGGTTTTCCGGGATTTCCGGGAGATCCTGGATTACTGGGATATACTGGATTACCGGGAAATACAGGTTATCTT